GGCCCTGGCTTTCCTCCTCCCTTACTTCCTCCCTTCCCGACCTGACTTGTTCTTTGGGATTGACCGGCGTTGCTCAAGTTGGCCATCTGCCAACTTGAAAACTCTTGCAGCCGAGTGCGCTGGCGAACTGCGCCCGTGTTTTCCATGGCGGATAATGACTTGCCCACTGCACAAATGGGACAAGGGCACTCTGCCTTACACCGGAACCCAGACAGCTGCAACAGCACAAGTAGGCAAAAATGAGCACTCATTACAATCACCGGAGACTGACTGTTAAAGTCACACTTGCACCCACTGAGTCGCCGGCTGGATTCACTCATCCAATCGCCCCAGCGGCCCTGATCACCATGTCGGCACAACCGACAAAGGAACTGACAGTTTCCACAACCGAGACGGGCATGATCTCACTTTCTTTTTAAGCTCAGTCAGTAACACCGGCAGCCAGGTTTAAAAGCACGAATTAAGCTGTGACTGCCAGCTGAAAGTGGGAATGTAACTATTAGCCTTTTCAAGGTAAGGACTGTGTTTCACTTCCAGCCAGCAGTCCAGTGTCGGGTCCAGGACTCTCTGGCTGGGCCAGTGTCGGGACACAAATTTCGACGGCTCAGAATCATTCATTGGAGCAGAACTGTTTGACCATGGACTTCGGGTTCAGTGTCGATGATCAACTGTACGTGTGCAGCTCATCCTGCATTTCCAGCAGTGCTTCAATCATGTACTCACGATCCCGGAATGGAGCATAGTAGGCTCGGTGGTTGATCCACCTGACAATGGCTTGTTCCATGGTCATCGAGGCAAAGGCCATGACTAGGACACAATAAGCAGCACAGGTCCTGTTAATGCCACCGTAGCAATGGACAAGCACACGAATTGGCCTCTTCTTGCCTCCACGCTTCCGACCACCTCCCTGAAGCTTCATCGCCTCCAACAAAGCAAGAGCATTACCGAGCTCACCAGGGAATGTCTCATCGGCCACCTTCAAGGCACTCTGCCTTCCATCGGCACTCTGCCTTCCTTCAGCGGCTCTTCCGAACAGGCTGCCCATGTCACTTCCCTTGCTGAAGCCCTTGTCATAGGAGCAGCCATAGCCAAATGAGCCCTTCGTCGATGCCTTCTGGCTTTGCATGTGATTGGAAACCTGACAGGGGCCGCTGTAGCCCTTGCTGATTGTCTTGCCCTTGCCCCTGCCGCCATTGGCCTTGCCCATCATTTTGCCCTTGATGGCACTCTGCCTTTGACTCTGGCTGAACTCCTCTGCTGAGCGCTGCCAGCACATCATAATCTTTCTGAAATCTGAAATGAGGCGGCGCCAAATGGTCTTGAACTCATGACTTCTTTGTTCAGCATCAAAGTCATTGGCATGTGTTTGATCCCAGCCACCATACCGAAGATGTGCAGTGCCAAACGGTCCACAATTCGCCAAATACAGGTCAATGTGATTGGCCTGATTCTGATGGTCAGCAGCAGAAGTCTGGCACTCTGCCTCGGAACTCCCTGAGCACCTTGAAACGGTCGTCGGCATCACTGCTTTCATCGAGCACCCAATTGTCCAACGATTAAAACATTAACAGTGACTAATGCATCACTATACAGTACATTAACCAATGATATGTAACATTGTGTTACTACTGTTACATCAGTATGAATGAATCACTTGATTCCCTGGCCGGCAGATGTCGATCATGTATGGTGCAAGGCAACTCACTGACAGACTATGCAGGCAGGCAGGCAGGCAGCCAGCCTCGGAGACAGCAGGGTCCTGAGGACGTCACTGCCACCCGGCACTGTGTAGTCAGCATGTCATGCTGGGTAACCTTTTTGAATCCAAGTTGCGCACACTACCGCTGAGGTCTCAAATCGGACAGTCTAGCTCTGCTGGCGAGATCGTCGAATTCAAAATCCTCTAAGCACACGCAAACCCGGCACTCTGCCTTCCCCAACATCCGTAATACGGTCTCGGAGGCTGTACAAACACGATGAATCACTGATTCAGTGACGACACAAATTCGTCTGACACATTGTAATGTAAAATTCCTGGCACTCTGCCTTGCCGCACAAATCTCGGAACGAGTACGCACAGGATCATGTCATTGATATGCCAGTCTACTTGCAAGACTTGCCCACGCTCTTCAGAATTCAGAAACATCCACAATGTCGAAAAGGACTCCTCTAGCAGCTCGTCGAAATAAATCACATAATCATCGTCGTCAAAACTGTCCGCGACCGAGCCCACAAACGAACCCCCAAACGCCGCAGTGCTTGCAAACTCGCCAACAGCCAATAAGTCCGAGACCGAGCCCAGAGACTCACTGTCACTCCACGACGTCGACGACATCTGCCGGCTTGCACGGAGGCCTACTACGACTTAGACTAGAGACAGAGCAGGTCGTCGGGATCACTGCTTTCATCGAGCACACTTCAATTGTCCAAAGATTAAAACATTAACAGTGACTAATGCATCACTATACAGTACATTAATCAATGATATGTAACATTGTGTTACTACTGTTACATCAGTATGAATGAATCACTTGATTCCCTGGCCGGCAGACAGATGTCGATCATGTATGGTGCAAGGCAACTCACTGACAGACTATGCAGGCAGGCAGGCAGGCAGCCAGCCTCGGAGACAGCAGGGTCCTGAGGACATCACTGCCACCCGGCACTGTGTAGTCAGCATGTCATGCTGGGTAACCGTTTTGAATCCAAGTTGCGCACACTACCGCTGAGGTCTCAAATCGGACAGTCTAGCTCTGCTGGCGAGATCGTCGAATTCAAAATCCTCTAAACACACGCAAACCCGGCACTCTGCCTTCCCCAACATCCGTAATACGGTCTCGGAGGCTGTACAAACACGACAAATCATTGAAGCAGTAACGCCAGAAATTCGTCTGACACATTGTAATATAAAATTCCTGGCACTCTGCCTTGCCGAAAATCCCGCCGAAGTCTCGGAAAGAGTGTGAACATGATCTGCTCATTGACAGACCAGGCTACTTGCAAGACTTGCCCACGCTCTTGAGAATTCAGAAACATCCAGAATGTCGTAAAGCACTCCTCTAGCATCGTGTCGAACGGAATCACAGAATCATCGTCGTCAAAACTGTCCGCGACCGAGCCCGCAGTGCTTGCACCCTCATCGTCAACCAGAACCCAGTCCGAGCCCACAGACTCACTGTCACTCCACGACGTCGACGACATCTGCCGGCTTGCAGGGGGGCCTACTACGACTTAGACTTGAGACAGAGCAGCTGTAACACGACTATAGTAGATTACGCAGGGCAACAGCGAGCACAACTGCTGCAGCGGCAAGTTGCGATACATGACACGCTCACTGACTATGCAAGGCAGCTTGTCCTCTGCGATGGCAGCATGTCCTCAGGATCCTCGTCATGAGCCTCGGTGCCAGGACTGTACCATAATAATGGAAGTAGCTGAAGCAAGCTGATGCTGAGATCCCAGCAGTTGGCATCCACTTCTCGATGGGCTGGAAGCCGATGAAGACCGATGGGAGAGAAGGAAATGGAAGAGAAGGCGTTCACTAGGCTTGGATTCAAACCGAACACTTAGACCTGGCCAACGGTGTGGGGAGCAACCCCGATGGGGCAGGGACTTAAGTAAGGCAACCTCGAGAGGCTCGACTGGCACTCTGCCTCTGTCGATCCAAGTCGCAAGGCTCCCTAACTAACGTGACAAGCATGGATGGCCTCCCCTCCTGGTTGGGAGAAAAATAAAAAAGCCACAACCACTGGACCACCCCACCCGGCACTTTAGCCCATGTGCCCGGGTGTCATATGCCACTGCCCTGGCACGTTGGCCCCAAGGCGGTCCAGGTACCATCGACAACACCTGACACCCGGCCAACGGTGTCCACGAACCGAGATGGGCAGTCGATCCGTGTGGGTAAGGTGGCACTCTGCCTCTGTCGATCCAAGTCGCAAGGCTCCCTAACAAAACGTGACGACAAGCATGGATGGCCTCCCCTTCAAGGCTGTAAGCACGGCTGCGAACAACCCCTCAACCGCCCCACCCGGCACTTTAGCCCATTTGTCCGGGTGTCATATGCCACTGCCCTGGCACGTTGGCCCCAAGGCGGTCTAGATACAATCGCCTCATAACCTGACACCCGGCCAACGGTGCCCACGAACCGAGAAGGGCAGTCGATCCGTGTGGGTAAGGGCAAGATCTCAAGGCAAGTCAACATGTCACTACGGCCTCCCTTCTTTGTTCAATCACAACCCAAAACTATTTAAAAAGATTAAATTTTAAAAATTATTAACTTCAACAACAAATAAACAACAATTTTGTAGACATACAGCAGCAGGAAACCAGGTAGAACAACAGGAAGCCAATTGACTCACTCAGAAACAAAATTCACAAACATGTATTTTTTACACCAAAAATAAAATAAAAGAATTTTAACAACTGTAAAACACAAAAAAACCTATTTAAAAAACTTTTAAATACAAAACAATACTTTTAAATACAAAAAAAACTTTTAAACACAAATAAAGCCAACCACATACAAAAATGAGATTTTGGGTTCCTTTCATATAAGCCTTGTTGATCTAAACCCTGTGGTTCTGGTTCGGCGCAAAGGGTTAAGGACAGTAGTAGTATTAGTAGTAGTAGTAGTAGTAGTAGTCGTGGTGGTGGTGGTGGTGGTGGTGGTGGTAGTGGTAGTAGTAGAAGTAGTAGTAGTAGTAGTAGTAGTAGTAGTAGTAGTAGTAGTAGTGCTAGTAGTAGTAGTAGTAGCAGTAGTAGTAGTAGTAGTAGTAGTAGTCGTAGTCGTAGTCGTAGTCGTAGCAGTAGTGGTGGTGGTGGTGGTGGTGGTAGCAGTAGTTGTTGTTGTGTAGTGTACGTAGTATAGCTTCGCTTAGCTTCGGATAGGTTAATGTAGTTTGCAGAGGAGCAGCTACAGGTGTGCTCAGGTACCGAGTAGCCACGACATGGACACCAGAAGGGGCAAGCACGTACCGTCAACATTGAACATATGGGCCTTAAACACCGGAACTCCGGGCCAAGGTGCCGTTCTTTTCCAGGTTTGGCCTGAAGTTCGAGGAGTCAAGATCATGGATGGTCAGCTCCTTGTCCACAAACTTCTCATCTTGCGAGGCGTAAGCAAAGTTGGTGTTGTCGGAACTTCTGCCCGTCCTTGGCGGAGTTGCTTGTGTGCCGTTGCATATACCTCCGTGCATGTATGCGCACAGAGAGAGAGAGGGAGAGAGAGCGAGGGAGAGAGAGACAAAGAGAGACATATATAAAAGTATACACACATCTACGCTATATACATATACATGGTCCCCCTCCCCCAGAATCCACGCCCTCAACCCTTGCTGCAAGTACGATCCACGGTCTAGCACATGAACAAGCTCTTCCTTGCTTCCTTTAGTTTGTGTCCTGTTCTTTCGTGCGTATGTCCAGTGAGTCGGTATGGTATGTTCGTTTTGTCGTGTATGTGTACATGTATATGCATATGCAATTCTATGTGAAATTCGGCATGCTTGTGTATGCGCATGACAAGAAGCCACAGGCCATCACCGGCACACATTCTTCGAGACAGTCCCAAAAAAACAACAACACCAAAGCTCATAGGACAGGAAATGAGCATACTCGTTGAGACAATCCCAAATGAACCAAAAGAACTATACAAAGATTCCGAAACCTCTCCGAATTCGGAAATGGGCATATCTCCCGAGACAGTAAAACAAAAGTACAAAAACAGCAAAACTCGTAGGCCACGAAAAGAGCATATTCCTTGAGACAGTCCCAAAAAACACACACACACACACACACACACAAACAAATATTTTACTTCGAACATCTCCACCCTAGCGCCTTGTCCTTCCTACACGCAAATCCTAAGACCTAAAGAACCCGAGCCTAAACCTTAAACCCTGGTGTTCCCGAGCACTCCCGCGGGCCGCCACGCTGCAGCCGAAAACCCTGGTATTCCCCAGCACTCCCGCGGGCCGCCACGCTGCGGCCAACACAGCAAGATTAGGGCTGATGTTTCACACGCGTTGTGATGGGGATTTAGGTGTGGAACAAGTGTGTTTGTATAGCACAAGATGTTGTACGAAATATGACAGAAGAGTACGTGTGGAATCTGCTTGTGACAAACGAGTCCGATGCGTTATGAATTAAGCCTCGAGGCTGCGAGGCCCCGGCAGATTCCAAAGTTGGGATTGGGCACTCCAGGAAATCTCACGGTAGTCTGTAGGGTTGGGCACTCCAGGGATTCTCACGGTAGTCTGCGGGGTTGGGCACTCCAGGGATTCTCACGGTAGTCTGTGGGGTTGGGCACTCCAGGGATTCTCACGGCAGTCTGCAGGGATTCTCAGGGTAGTCTGTGGGGTTGGGCACTCCAGGCATTCTCACGGTAGTCTGTGGGGTTGGGCACTCCAGGGATTCTCACTGTAGTCTGTGGGGTTGTGCACTTCCGGGATTCTCACGGTAGTCTGATTCTCACGGTAGTCGGTGGGGTTGGGCACTCCAGGGATTCTCACGGTAGTCTGTGGGCTTGGGCACTCCAGGGATTCTCACGGTAGTCTGTGGGGGTTGGGTATTCCAGGAGGTAATCTCAGCGGGCGAGGAGTAATAACTGACTCTAAAATCTAACAACCCCACACCGAGGGTGAGGAAAATAAAAAGAAACAAAGACTCCGAAAACCTCTCCGAAATCGGAAATGAGCATATCTCTCGAGACAGTCCCAAACAAAACAAAATACCAAAACAGATCGGCCGCGAAATAAACATATTCATAGAGACAGACCCAAAACAAACGAAAGAACCAAAAATTCCGGAACCTCTCCGAAATCGGCAATGAGCATATCTCTCGAGACAGTCCAAAACAAACAAAAATACCAAAACCCCTAGGCCACGAAATGGGTATATTCATCCAGACAAACCCAAACAAAACAAAAGACCCAAAGGTTCCAAGCCATTGGAGCTGTCTTGAAAACGGCCTTTGGGACAGCTCTGATATTTTCGTTTTTTTGCGGACTGTCTCGATGAATATGCTCATTTCGTGGCCTATGGGTTGTGGTGTTTTTGTTCTTTTTTAGGACTGTCTCGATGAAGATGCTCATTTCGTGGCCATGTTTTGGGTTTTTTTGGGACTGTCTCGATGACTATACTCATTGAGAGGCCTATGGGTTTCTCGAAGAATATGCGCATTTCCTGGCCTATGGGTTTTGGTGTTTTGGTTTGCTTTGGGACTGTCTCGAGAAATGGCCTTTGGGACAGCTCTGAATCTTTGGTTCTTTTGGTGTCTTTGGGACTGTCTCGAATAATATCTCATTTAGAAGCCTATGGGTTTTGGTATTTTGGTTCTTTTGGGACTGTCTCGAGAAATATGCTCATTTCCGATTTCGGAAAGGTAGGCCACCAAAGGCAAGTCCTTAGTTGTACGTATACACACTAAAGGCAAACCTTGCAGATGCCAGGTTCGTTCATTCTCCAGCTGCGCTCTGCAAACATGTGTGTCCATTCATGTCTCAGCTCCTGTCAGATCAAGCTTCATCGCGGGATACCTTTTCGTAGCCTCGTCGCATCAGTGCTCCCATGGCTAGCGCGCCTCCTCGTAACGCGGTCTCATGCACTGCATGCCTGATTCTACCTAAATAGACCCCTTATATACTACCGTAAGAAAGAAAACTTCGATTTAGTAGGGGATATCCTAGACCCTAGATCCCAGATCTCCTTCATATAAGTCCTTTCTTCAAGATGCTACAATCCAACTGGGTGACTTTCCAGATCTTGGGCTCTTCCTGATTCTCCCTATATACTTACAAGTAGTTTATCTGCAAAGTATTCTGTAGGGCACTCTATTCTTTAGGGTATTCCATATCATAAACAAAAGGTACATACTGGGCATATAGCAGGTATTGTATATAGTATTATTCTGGTGGTTGTCCCCTTATGAATAATATCTGCAAAAAAACTGTATAGTGCTTTCTCTGGTGCATTCCACGGGTATTGATCCTAGATCCTGCATTTCTTCATTTAATGGCTTGAGTTTGCACACACGGCATGCATTCATGCACGACTGCGTCTCGGGTTGCAAAAGAACACAAACTTGCACGATGTTCTGTGTGCATCTACCCAAGCAGATTGTTTGGGTTGGAATAACAGTTTTAATGGTAATGGCATACCAACAGTCAAGGGCGGATTCTCAGGGGGGGCGTAGCATATATATATATATATGTACACACACACATATGTAGCCGTAGTATTTAAATACAGTTACAGTGCCAGAGTAGATCCCCAAACAGTGGATAAGCACCCATGAGCACCACCCCAACAGCTGATAGAGCACCACGACGACCAGGATCACGCCACCACTATAGCAGAAGACCATCTGGAGATCGAGGAGAGCACCGAACGACGCACCAGGAGAAAACACAAGAAGACCAGAAACATACCACCAGGAAACTCCGGGATATCACACATACACCACCAGGCAGCCAGCAGGAGGCGGCCGGGAGAGAAACCCACAACACACCATCAGGAGACCACCAGCACACCAACAGGATACAACGGCCAACATGATTTCTGTGCACTGGCGGGATTTACGGGCGTGACCAACATGCTTCCGCCCAAATACCGGCGGTGTCAGGGGCACGGAGATAAATGCTTTTCCCCTCCATGTACTGGACTGTCGAATTCGAAGATATGCCCAACATACTTCAAGTGATTCAAAGATGCCATCCATATACTTCCCCCCATTGCATCAAAACAAAGCACAGCACACAGTCAAGCGGCCGCCACTTCTTCTGATACTCCGAATGGTTTTGGTAAAGGAAGGCGATCCGCGCCTGCGCGTCCCCCGAGCCGGCATCGGCGGTTTCGATGTTCCAGGAATGGGAGAGATCTTCTTCCCCGGGGACTTTCACATTCAGCTCGACCGTGACGTCGCTCTTCTCTGGGACCTGAGAGCCAGAGAGGGGTCCGGCTAGGACGACTGCTCTGCTACCGCTGCTAGGGAGTGAGCTTTATCTTGAAGCATCAAAAACTTCGACCCAATCTCGGAAGCCTGGAAGTAGGCCGCCGCAAAGCCACCCGTTACACAGTCGGAGGTGTTCCCATCTTGGCATGGTGGAATCGTCTCGTCTGGCTTGCGGTAGTCGCCTCCAGTTTTCAAGTACATCTGGATTTTCCCGCCGTTCTGCACAACCTGTGCGCTCAGCAAACTTGCACTGACAAAAGGCTCGCAGTTCGAAAGAACCATGCCAGCGCCGAAGTCCGGTCCGCAATTGCCACCCAGAGCCCTCTGCAAACCCCTGCAAGAACGCTTGTCAATATCCCCTTCGCTCTGCTTCTGTTGAGTTTGATAGGGTTCGGAAGGGGATTACAATTGCTTCAGGTCGAAGTCGGCAGCTTGGATTTCCCAAGCCCAGTTCGATCCTTTCAGCCCCACCTCCTCGAACCTCTCCCAACGCAAGGCGAGAACCAGCCGAGTCGGATTCACGCGCCCAGGCCTCCGATTGCTGTCCCACCTTTGGCTCGCTTGGGCTTAGGTGCTGAGTATCCTGGCCCAAAAAGTTGCTAACCTTTGCAAGTATGGCAGGGGGAAAGAAAACCCCGAAAGACTGAAGATGTTTAAAAGCTATACCTTCTCAGCTACTGAGTGGGTCGCGGGGAACTAGACGGGTTCGAAGTTAGTTCCACGCCCTTCAGGGAAAGACATCCTTGCTAGCATTGCCTCCTTCGTCCCTTCACTGCCATTTTGAATACAGTTCGTCTGATTGATTACCCTTCTCGCTCAGCGGCGGCAGGGGCACCCCGTTCGCCGACATCGAGAGATCGCTCGGCACCGGATCTTCATTCAAACTAAGGCCCTCGTATTTGATCTTGGACGATGCCAGCGCCCTCCATAAGCCTTGCAGGGGCAAGGAACTTCAGACAAAATCAAAAAAGCGGTGGCTCCGGTAGCAGTCGTCGTCGTCGTCGTTGCACT